CTTTGAAGGTTTGACGTTTTCACAACGCAAGAACAATATGATCTGGAATCTACTCAAAGCATTAGCCAGGCAGTCAGCTGATGCTCAGTGCACACAAGAGAGACAGAAATAAGAGAAATTAAACCTCGTATTTGTGGAAGGCAGGTATCTACTACGTACCTTTAAAACTAAAATAGGCCAACAGTAGACGTTCCGGTTAAAGTAATAAAAGTACTTCTATTGTTAAATAACAATACAAAAAAACGGCTTTCCCCACACTAGGTTTCTTTCATTCTTGGAATTTTCCTTGTAGAGGGCTTTTATCGGTACGTAAAACCAACCTCTCATCACCGAACCGCTGCCTGAGTAACTTTTACAAAAGGTCAAAGCGGTGCCTTTCAAGGGTTCCAAACCCTATTGGCTTTTCCTCCGTTCACAGTAACTCGCTTTCCACCCACAGAACGTTCCAGAGACCTAGCGACGGGGACCAAACAAAATTTCGTGGGGGTTGCTAAAAAGAGCCTTTCAACTTGCTTTTCAAGACACTTATGCCGATTTTCACCTTCCTCGCACCGCGGCCCCACATGTTGCTCGTCTCCCTCCCAGAGGGCCCCGCGAGGCCTCGCTTCACCCCCCAGAACGCGCCCACCTGATTACCCTTTTCTCCGCAGACTCCGCCCCCGCCCCCCCCCCCCCCCCGCCTGTGTGCCTCCTTCAGGAGGTCCATATGGGACACTCTCCCCGTCCTCTGATCCTCACAACACACCACACCAGCCTCGATTCTCTTCCTCCAATTCTCCCCCGCTATGGCGCTCCCCCTCGCACCGCTTCCTAAAGTGTTAGGAGAGCGCAGAGAGGAGCCGCAGGCCTGCACGGCCCAGGTGCTGTGTCAGCCTATCTGCCGGTTCCGCGGCGTGTACGGCCTGGAAAGTCACATGGCGGTGGGACCGGCCGGCGCCTCCACACTCCTGCTCTCCTCAGAGCAGGACCAGATGACCAAGTCCGCTCACCTCCACGAAGAGCAACATGTCTTCCTCCGCTCGGCCCACTCGTTCTCGCCGCGGCGACTCCAACTGGCTTACAGGCCCGAGCCCCAATCGCTAGGATAAGGACACTCGCCTGGCCCCTCCACCCGGCAGTGGACCCGGCTCCTCCCCCGCCGTCAGCCGCTGCGGCCCGACCCGCCCAGTCCCACCTCCCTTGAAACAGCAACTGTTTCCGGTTCTAGAAAACAATTGCTTCCGGGAGCAGAGACAACCCGCGGCGCGCTCAACTTTTGCGCTACCTTTTCCAGCAGCAGTATGGAATGTACCATCATCTGTTCTGGGGGGAGGAGGGAAGTGATCAGAGGAAGGCACCATTCTTTGCCACGGCGGGGTGTAAAAATCTTATTGACGCATTTTATCTCTTGCCGAACGAATGTAACTACCACGGCCGTAATCATTCCGCAGTTTTTATAGCTCAAAATCTTGATCTGATAAAAAGCCGAGCATGTGCGAAGTGTACTGAACAAACGCCCAACATTGCCGAAAAGGTGGTGGCTCGCAGAAAAAAAAAGTAGAGAAGGAAAAAAAAGCAGTGGTAATAGTAAATATATTACTAGCAGCTGCTGTATATTAAATGCTTACTGTGTGCCTGGCAGTGTTCTAAGTATTTTACGTGAATTAATCCTAAAGCAATCCTATGCAATTAATACTATTATCCCCATGTTACAGTCGAAGGAGCCCTCTAGGAGGGCGGGTTTCTCTTAGATACACCTTGAAAGAACTTTGCCCCATATTCTCTTGAATCCGGTATCCACGTCTCCGCTTAATATAACGCTACATAATAATACTTAGTCTGGGTAGCCTCTTCATTGATGTTCTGCTATCACTTCAAATGAAATACAATAAAAACAATTTTTTAAACTATCTTTATAATTTTCTGTTAGATGATCCAAATTCCTTATTATTTTTAGTAATATTACTTGGTAGGATTTATCCCTCTCTTATTAGTCCCACTTCTATATCCTAGTTCAGACGCTCATCTTTTGAAATAATTCTGTCATGCTCTTTTCCAATGGATTTTTTCCATTCTATTATTTCAAAAATCTTCCTAATTGAAGGTTTCATTTTCACCAAACTGCTGTTATTTGCTTTCAAGACCTTACCATTCTGATCCCACCTAATCTCCCTTTCTTCACCTCAAATGAATCTCCTCACTTTTTCACTTAGATACCAAATTAATTCCACTATCAAACTGTGTCCCATACTCTCCCTAATCTGGTCCCCAGTAAACTCAACATTACTTCATCTCAATTAAACCAGTCTCCTCACTTTTCCCCTGAAATACAAACTCAACACTCACCTCCAAAGCCATGGCTCAAGGTGTCTTCCCTATCTGGAATGCCTTCATTTGTCAATCAACTTTCTCTCTCCATAAGGTTTTCCCAAAAACTCTGCTCCCCACGGATCTCTTCTTCATGTCCCTGTTTAACACTTGAATATTATATTCTATCTTAAGTTATTTCCTTTTTCTTCTTTTCGTTTTTTAGTTTCTTCACAGGTACCCTATCATAAATTCTTCACAGTCTAGGATAATGGTAGCCACATAGTAGTGTCTCAACAAATGTTTGTCCAATTGAAAGGGAAGGAGAGAGATTTTAAAATTGCTTTAAAAAGCCTTCATTTCCAGTTGATGATGAATTCCATGCTGCATAAAAAATACGAGAGAGAGAGCACAATAATGCTAAATTAGTTTAGTTGACAAGCATGTAGGCTGTTTTGTGAACGCCTACTAGGATAAGCAATATAAAAAAATCAAGAGAAATAAAAGTTATATAAAGATCTCACAATCTAATATTATTATCAATAAAGTACTTAAACCAATTAATTGATAATGTCAAATGCTGGATAATGATGGCTATTTTAATCAAACCTCACATTTATAAAAATAAATAATTCTTCTTAATTGTGATCCTTTCAGAAAACATTATGAACTTCCTTGAATAAATAGACTTAGTTGTGATTTATAGGAAAGAAGGGAGTAATATTTTATGACTAGGGGGGCAATCTAACAATAAAAGAAAGTATTCCGGGGCTTAGAAAAGTTTCTAAAAGGAATCGAGTCTGAAACTATAATGGATATCCAAATTTTAGACAGTTTCTGTGGAGGAATTGAGGAAGAATATGGCAAATGTTAGAAAAAGAAAACTAAAGTACAGCATCTGGTTTTGAGAAGTTTACCAACTAGTGGATAGAGACAAATAATAAATAGTTACATTGCAATGAGGTAAGTACTATGATAGTTTACAGAGTGATTTGGAAACACAGAGGAGGGAGTGACAGACAACGAGATCCTAAAGAGAAGGAAAAATATTTAATTTGCTCTCTATATATTGATTGATATTTTTAAGAGACAACTACTTTATGATCCCCTGCCTCCACTCTCTCTGAAGGACTGAAACACATATATTGCTTAACTTTACAATTTACAACAAAGACTCAACATAGGACTAAGTTTAAAATCAGTTTACAATAAAGACTCAACATAGGAAGTTCTCGTAGAGTAATTAAGTTATACATCCACAATTTGTATAAAATCTAAAACCTCAAAATGATATTATATAGTTTATGAATACATACACCTGTAGTAAAACTATATAAACATAAACGAGACATAAATACATCAAAATCATAATTGTCATTGCCTCTGAAAAGGGACAGAGGGGAGGGAAAGTCTGGTGAAAACATCAAAGGGGACTTCAACTTTATCTCTAATGCTTTCTTTTGTTTAAAAATATCTGAAGTACCGGGCTGGCCCCGTGGCATAGCGGTTAAGTGCGCGAGCCCTGCTGCTGGCGGCCCCCGGTTGGGATCCCGGGCGCGCACTGATTCTTCGTTTGTCAAGGCATACTGTGGCTGCGTCCCATATAAAGTGGAGGAAGATGGGCACAGATGTTAGCCCAGGGCCAGTCTTCCTCAGCAAAAAGAGGAGGATTGGCAGATGTTAGCTCAGGGCTGATCTTCCTCACAAAAAAAAAAGTGGAGGAAGATAGGCACAGATGTTAGCCCAGGGCCAGTCTTCCTCAGCAAAAAAAGAGGAGGATTGGCATGGATGTTAGCTCAACGCTGATCTTCCTCACACACACACACACACACAAAAATCTGAAGTAAATATGACAAAATGTTAATATTTGTTCATTCTAGGTGATAGGTACATAGCTATTTGTTATATTACTTTCAGTACTTTTTCATATTTTTTCAAATTAAAAAATAAAAATGTATACAGCTGACAAAACTACCCTGTCCTTTAATTGCTCGAATCTCCTAATCCTTTCACCTCCTTTGCAATGAAAGGAGCTGCCCACAGTACTCCTTTTTCAGTTAGAAGACAGACTCTAGCATGCCCTTCAATTTCTGGAGTCAACTATGGAACTTCAAAGCCTTCTTCAGTCAGGTTCCTTGAAAAAACTAGTCGGTAGGCAGTGCAAAGAGTGTGATCTTCATCCAAATAATATCTTCCAAGTTACTTCATGTCTAGGAAAAGTTGAGGGGCAGCTGAGGAAGTTGTAACACAATTAATCCATTACAGACTTAAAAATTCTTAAGCAAAACCTAAGAAGAGAGAACCAAGAGTTACATTTGAAACACTGGATCTTGAATTCTAACGCCTGGATTTTAAACTCATTTAAGTAGGGCTATATCTTCTATTTCTTTTAGCATTCCTGTTGTCTATTCTTTCCTACCCTCCCTCCCCCTTCACTCTTCTACCATCACAGCATATAGAATGCCTAGTTCTCTGCATATAATAAGCTCTCTTTAAATGTTGGAGGCAATGATAATGTCACAATGGGTCTATTATGACATCACTAGGACTGGAATACCATGGTTAGCAATTAGTAGCAGATTGAACCACAACGTCTGGGAGCAGGAAAGACCTCTTCTAGCTCCTTCGTGGACACTTTTATTAGCATTTGCCTATATTCTGTGAAAAAAGAAGAAATAAAAGAAAATTACTCAACTTTTCAAATATTTATCAAAATGCAAAGGGAGATAGACAAGGAATCTGATTCAGAAAATGGAGCTGTGGATTACACCATCATGTCCAGAAAAGCCCTTGATAGCTCAGTGGTCCCCCTGCTTGAGATCCCATTTACAGCACAGGATGTCATCTCTAGGATTGAGCAAGCACAACTCTGTAGAGCCAGAGAGGTAGGTAGTAAATGAGAAGTTTACCGATTGCAACTTTTTTTTAACTTTCCATGACCAGCTACATTTTTTTTTTAGAACTTAATTTATTTTCATGGTATTTGACTGTGTTTGAGGTAATTTTCATTTCAAATGACAATTTCACCTGACTCTGTGGATAGCAAGCTCCAATTGTATATTAATCTCTTTCACTTTCATATCAGAATTAAGGTTTTAAGAAATAAATCACATGTGCTATTAAGTGAGTGGGGTAGAAAGAAAAATTAAAATCTGTAGCTAATATTGATATCAATTTTAGTCCAAAGTTTTCATTTGTTCTCAACTGAGCTTTTATCAAATAGCTATTAACAAGAAGAAACATTGCGTTGAACTCCAGCTCCTTTTATTTCGCCTGAACACTTCATGGAAGATGAGTTTATTGGCCAAGAGAAAGCCAAGGACAGTAAACAAAGAGCTTAAATAATGTAACAATCAAATAGACCCCAAACAATTAAGGCTATACTACATTCTATTCACTCAGACAGAATACAACAAAATCAGTCAGGCTAAAAGAGATTAATTCAGGGGAAGTTCTTTCCCATGTTTAAGGAGTACTGAATACTTGTACTTTCTCCTTCTCCACATAGACTTACTCCTGCTCCAACTCCCCACAACTAGCAGCAATAACACAGTGCTAGCTTTTAACAGCTTCATTAAGGTGTAATTGACATACAATAAACTGTATATTTTTAAAGTATACAAGTTTTTTTTCTTTTTTTCTTTAATTTTATTTATTTTTTCCCCCAAAGCCCCAGTAGATAGTTGTATGTCGTAGCTGCACATCCTTCTAGTTGCTGTATGTGGGACGCG